TACGTTCAAGTTTAAATAAAGCAATGGGCGTTTCAAGAGTGATTGTTGTACGCCCTTGTCCTGGGCTGGCCACATCTATGGAGGCCGGCCTGTCCAAGCAAGTTTTATGAAACACATTATGTATTCCAAATCAAATACTTATGTAATTAGCATCACAAGTGGAACAGAAAAAGATGCAAGCATTAGCAGTGAAAATTAAGTGAAAGACAATTAGATGGAAGCTACAACAGAGAGAGAGCGAGAAAAGGGAATACCTATTCGAGTTATATTGTGCACCCTGCCCTGTTTTGTAGATTCGATGGGTAGAACTTGACAGTAAAAATGTATTTTGAAAGGCCAAAAAGTTGCTGATAGAAGATACAATTGTGTTTGACAACCGGTATTGTTTGTTTGTATAGACATAAGACATTTGGGTTGTGTGAAAAGTAACGCAGGAGACGTTATTAAGAAGATTAATTAATTGAGTGAGATTTAATGGAAAGGGTTAATGAAAGGACAATACTTTTTAGTGAACGGAAGGATAAAAAATATTTTGAACAAATAGGAAAGAGGCAAAATAATAGAAAAAGGGTGAAAAATATAATTGAGAGAAAAGATAAGTTGAAATCCTGGCTTAGGAGAATGCCACATTAGCTGTCAATGTCTCTCTTTTATATATATCTCTCTATATATAGATATAGATTTTACCACCCACAGCAAATTAAATCCTCTCTTTAAAAATGCTTAGCTTTCATAATCTGCTTCCTTTTCTTTCTTGCGCTTCAAGAAAGAAGGTTCTTTCTATTCTTTCTCCTAATCCCCTGACGTAAATCTCTTTTTGTTTTTGAAACTATTTGTTGTCTTTCATGTATCTCTATATTTTATATTCTCACTTTTCTCTTTGATTTTAAGTTAACTGTAGAAATCAACTTTGGTTTTTTTGGTTATTATGCTGCATGTGAGACTCGATTAATCTTGAATCTTCAATAGAGTATACAGAAGTTCCCTTCGTTTTACGAATAAAGGTCATCACCCGGAAGACTTCAACTTCACCTCCGCTAAAACGATTATATATAGATCATCCACATCAATATTTTTTTAATAATTGCCAAGGTAACTTATTTATGATACATTTAACATTTTATTACTTTGTTGCTTAACAACTATATTATTACATTTATCTTTTGTTACATACAAATCTGACAAATGAGCATGGCCAAAATGTGTTGATCGTTTATATGGTTTATTTTCTTTTCCCTTTTTATGTCACAACTCCTTCACTTATTTAAAATATAAACATGAGATACCAACTGGTAATTGGGATTTGGGAATATATATTTTGGCTTTTTGCTTAAGAACACATTATCTCTTGAATTTGTTGAGCTGGGTTTTGTTTTTCCAGTTTGGTATCAACCTTGAGAATATAATTAATTAATAGTGTTATGGTTGAAGAATTGAGATAAGAGAAGATTTATATCTTTTTAGTTATATAAGAATTTTAACAATAATTATTTAACTATATTTTGATTTCCTTTAAGGCTAATTTACTAGTTTATATAGTATTATTTAGAAATTTTTACCTCCTATAGCAAAGGTTGATACTTTATTTATTTTAAATAAATACCCTTTTAAAAAGTTATATTTCATAGCTACCTTTTGATTTTTATACCAAAATATCTATTTATGGTCACCTCCTACCCTTAAGCCATAAAATACGCTTTGTATTATTTTTCTCTCTCATTCTTTCAGATTTTTTTCCACCATCTCTCTCTCTGAACTCCAGTCTTTCTCCATAGACATTTTCTCTTGTTTTAACGAATCAGATCTCAAGGGTACTGCAAGTTGACATTGATCCTGGGGATGCAAAAATAAAACAAATGTCTAGGGACGAAACCAATAAATTTGGTCTATTTTCTTGGGAATTTGTCCGTCGCCATGGGTTGCACCTATGCGGCACAACTTCCACATGGTTCTTGTTGGACATTGCTTTCTATAGCCAAAATCTATTCCAAAAAGATGTGTCCAGCGCAATTGGATGGATACCAGCAGCCAAAACCATGAATGTCGTTCAAGAAGTTTACAAGATTGCAAGAGCACAAACCTTGATTGCACTACTTAGTACAGTGCCAGGGTACTGGTTCACTGTGGCGTTCATCGATGTAGTTAGAAGGTTCGCGATCCAATTGATCGATATACTTCGGATACCAGATTCGCAGAAGAAATACTTCTGTTAATATATTTTAATGTATTTCAATGTATCTCGTTGTATTTCATTGTATTTATTGTCTTTTTTTTTTTCATTGTATTCCAATGTATCTCGATGTGTTCTATGTATTTTCATTGTATTCATTGTCTTTGTTTCCATTGTATTTCAATGTATCCCGCTGTATTCCATTGTATTCACTGTCTCTCTATATTTCATGAATGTATTCATATATTTTTTTTAATTAATATAATTTATATATATATATGTATTATATAATTTCTCTGAAGATTGCTATACTTTTGGGGTGTTTTTCGGTTGAGAATATTTTTTATAACTGAAAATACGAAATTTGTGTGTTATAATTGAGTTTGTTGAGTTATATTAGGAGTCTATTATGTTAATTGATTCACTTTCTGTTTAAAAATAGTGTAATCCCTTGTTTCACGCCGTGAATACAGTCGAATACAATAATCTGTCCAACTGTAGTACCATGTTTCATGCCATGCATACAGTCCAATACACTCGAATACAAAAATCTGTCTAGCTGTAATCTCATGTTTCACGCCTAGAAATGCTATCGTATTCATGAATACAGTAACTTAAATACATTGAATACGTTCTAAAAATCTGAAACATAGCTATAAGAAGTAATATAGTAAATGGTAACTACAACTAGCTAATAACCACTAAAACATAATAATTTCTGGAAGTTTCTCTATTATTTATCATGTTAGATTAGTTTGTATTTCATGGCTGATTTTTCGAAACCCAATTTTAACGCTGGGTCGAGTTTACCACCATCACTCTGCTAGCGAGGAAGGTTGAGTTCATTCTTTACCCTGTTACACGCGGGAGAAATTCAAAAATAACCAGATTTACAAGCGATCATTCAAAAATAGCCACAATTTCAAAAGTAATCGATATTTAATCACTTTTCATGTAAAGATAAATCTGAACGAAAATACTATTTAAAATCCGGAAAAATACTCCAGCATAATATACAGGAGTTCTAGTATATTATACCGGTCTAACATAATATACTGGAGTTTGGAGCATCGGTGCTCCAGGCTTTAGTATATTATACTTGAGCCAGCAAAGTATACCGGTCCAGCATAATATGCTGGAAGTTCATACACAGGTGCACCGAACTTGGGTATATTATGTTGGACCGGTCTCTGTTGCAGCAAAATAGTGGCTATTTTTTAATGACTCGGCAAACGCTGACTATTTTTGAATGACCAGTCTGAAAACTGGCTAGACCGTGCTATTTTAACATTACACGCGTGAGACGAGTCATGGGTTTTAGGCCGGTTTCGGGATTTTAGTTTCTGGGTTGGACTTTGACTAGAGGCTGCCAAGTGTTATGTAAATAGGGGTATTATCATTTTGGGAATCTTACATAAATGTCCCAAATAAATTTCAACTTACTAACTTCTAGCCATTAATCATAAACTTACAAAAACTAGCAAAACACATATGAAAATTAAAAATTCAAATAAATAAGGTTCTTTCTCCCCAAAAATCACACGCAAAAATCTCATTTCATATTTTTAAGCATGATTAGCAATATCATATGCAACGACGGAAAGGAAATTTTATGGATGGTTGAAATTCATTGAAAACATATAAATGAGTCAATATACAAAATTTGAGGAATATTGGAGGTGATTTGGACTGATTTGATATCAAAATTCATAGTTAAAATTGAGTTCAAAAAATTCTCCTGCGACACATGTATCAAATGTGTATCATGCATGTATCTCACATACAGGTATATATGGATATACATGTGATACACATTTGATACAAATATAATACATATGTGATACACAGATCATTTTTTCATGTTCATCTTCTACTTCGAATTTTCAATTCAAACCACCTCAAAACTCCACCAAATCACTCCAAAACTGAGATTCAAGCTCCTTAAGGTATATCCAATCTATTCTAACAACGCTCACTCAAACGAAAGTAAAAATTTGGCCTTTCTCTTCTTTTTTTTACTACAAATAGCTAATTGACTAATATTAGTAATATTTAATGAATTGGCCAATTTTTGTAATAAGCTACTTATAAATGAACATAGCTAGTAGTTTCCCTGTCATTTTTAGTCCACGTCAGAAACTATTTATATTTGGTAGCTGAGAAAGTGTATAAAATTTGTATAATTTTTTAGTTAACATACAAAATGTGTATATATATATATTAAAAAAATATACATTTTTGGGCAATTATTTTGAGAGCGACTATACAATATCATTTTTCTGTTAAAATATGGGTATATTTGCAAATTTACCCAACGGCAAGAGGATAAACTCAAATTATTAAATTTAAACAATAGTAGAGGAGTATATTTGGTCCTTTAACGTATTTTAAATGTTTACTAATTTTTCGGGGAACATGTTGGTCTGGTAAATTTTTCCTTAAGCAACAAAAATTCAAAAGAGAACGCCATGTTAATCTGTTATTTGAATAAAATCCAGGTCTCTTTAGTAATTTATATATCTTTCCTTTTCGTTCCCCTTTTCACCACTTAAAAGGATGTTTCATTTGAAAACAGGGAATTCTCAAATATGCCGGAAAAAAAAAAAAAGATTTATTCAATGGAGTCACCATCTAAACTCGTCAATAAATTCTCGCTAATTACAACGGCCATCAAATTTTGGCTCGCTAAGTTCCCATCAGGGGCATCCAATTTCGGAACGTGACATAAGGTCTATCCGAAAGAGACACAATAACAGGCATGGATGTCTGCCGCAGTAGTCTCTTGAATGCTGATAGATCAGGGGATTTAGTAACATATGGCAAACAAAAATAAGAAAGAAATCCTTGTCTGCATATTTCATTGGATTGAAAACAACAGATATCAGCATCCTTCCATTCGTGTACATACGCAATTGGGGATGATCAGAAACCAAAACCCATAAACCTTTGTTGCATAAGACAGTCCAACTTATTTGTTCCACTATTGCTACTATAATATACAAGTCACATAAACATTTTAAACTCTAGATCCAGTCAAATACCATCATAGAAAACTATGGAAGGTAGAACTCAGCTGTCTGCTACTGAGACGAACGTGATTATAGAACTGGGAGATTGTCAAAGAACTCTCAGAATATTTCACATTCAAGGAGGGTTCTGAGAGATAAATCCTTAGTTAGTAGTATAGAAAACAAAAGCAGTTTTCAGTTAAATGATAGCTTCCAATAACATGAGTTTAGTCTCCACCAAAAGATTTGGGAGACATTTTATGCAATATAAATTTGTCTTCGACAGTTAAAAAAATAGTACCAAAAAAAGGGCTGTCCAGCATGGTAGTCTCCACTCAGCCGCAAAATTAAGCATGACAAGATTTAACTGCAAGCACATAAAACAAGTTAGACAAGTTGGAAGATTAGTGACATAAGATAAATCCATTACTAATCTAGCAAGTATTGTTTCTAATACAAAACCCGAATGAAACAGATGAAATTTTCCTCCACATTAGAAGCCAACAAAATAAATAAGAAATAATACAGTAATAATTTATGTTGCTTCAACGCCACAAATATCAACCAGGATCTATCACAGTTGAAAAATAATATTCATTTCTACGTACAGTGAGCATTCGGAGCTCAGAAAAAGCAACTCTCAAATACTATGGTGGTTTCAGACTTTCAGCAATAAAAGGTCAAAATTTCCTGATATGAATAGATGTTAGTTACTCTAACCACATAACTCTTTTCCTTTTCTTTCTAAGCTGAGCAATCCAAGGAGACACATGGTTCAGGCAATCTTACTTTAAACACCTTCACCTTGAGATAGGGTGCATCTTCAAACTTTAACAGAGCTTTCAGATCAGATGGTTTGGGTTCACTTACTAATCAAAAATTGGATAACAATGGGACCAATAAATATAAAAAAACCCTTTAACATAATCCAGGTAAAGTAAGAGGTTTTTACATCATTGCTTTTGTCTTGCTAAGCTTCAAGCAGGAGTAGAGAAAATTATCTAAGGCTTCTTTTATCCCACCTCAATGAGATAATATAACGACTTTAAGTGGGCTAATTCATCCCGCTACTCTCAGCATATCTCATAGTTCTAGGCCAATAAGATCATAACATTCCACTATACTGACAGAGATTACAGCTGAAACGAAGTATGATATTTTTTTGCAATTAACAGTAGATGAGTGACATTAAGAATAGTACGCCCAACATGTCAGGGCAAATTATATTCAGAAGAACATTTAAAACCAATAACCTAAGCAATCTTCCATAAGGAAACATTGTTTGGCCATCATTGTGATGTAAAAAGCCCATTAAAAGAGACCAAGAGCTGTACACGAACAAAGTTGGTTCCAATTCACAACAAATAGAAGTCTACACATCAAGTACATGTAAATACTTTTTAATCAAATGAGTTACATACATGCAGAGTATATAAAACAAAAAAATGATAAAACATTCACTAAGCAATCGCCTTTCTGAGAAATGCAATATCTGGAAATGATCCACGTGTCTTGTTTAATGTGTCGGTAAGCATATCAATCAACAACAACAACAACGACCCAGTAAAATTCCACTAGTGGGGTATGGGGAGGGTAGTGTGTACGCAGACCTTACCCCAACTCTGAGGGAATAGAGAGTTTGTTTCCGAAAGACCCTCAGTTCAAGAAGACGAAAAGAGACAATATCAGTACCACCAATAGAAACCATAGAAAACTCAAGGTCATTTTGGTGCTCTAGTCAACTCAAACATAATTCTATTCATATAGGTCAACTGAATTTTTTTAGAACAGACGCATCCAAAGGCTATGGCGAATCCATGGAGAGGTAGAGGTACGCAGTAGAAGTATTGGCGAGATGTGATCAAGAAAGACATGACATATCTTCAGATCTCCGAGGGCATGGCCCTTGATAGATAGGTGTGGAAGTCGAGGATTAGGGTAGTAGGTTAGTGAGTAGTCGAGCATTTTTCTCTTTCAAACCTATAATTCCCTTTCTTACCTGTAGTACTACTGTTATTCTCATATTTCCTAGTCTTAGATCTCTTTTACTACTTGTTGTTTCGTTTACTTCGGTTCTGTTATTTTTCTGGTTGTTGTTACTGCTCTTCTTTCCGTAGTCTTTGTCATTACTGCTGTGATTATGCTTTCATTGAGCCGAGGGCCTACCGGAAACAACTTCGCTACCTTCACAAGGTAGGGGTAAGGCCTGCTTACATACTACCCTCCCCAAATCCCTCTTGTAGGAATACACTGGGTATGTTGCTGTTGTAGACGCACCCAAAGGCATAAACCATGTACATCAAGCATTTTTTGATAGACCATGTAAAAAAAACTTAAATAGCCCAAGAGACAACCAAATAAAGTAAAGTTTGCTCCCACACTTTTTGATAAAATTTGCTCCCCCACTTTCTGAACAATAACTCAACAGTCAACACCCCTTAATCCTGTTCCTTTACAGTCAGTTATTTTGATCTCCCTTTTGGTTTATTTTTTTTCTTTTTATAACGAAGCAAAAGCACCAACTTGGCAGACTACAAAGATGTACATAAAGTTCACAAAGAGCTCATAAATCAATAAAGACACCCGCTTGTTCTGGTTGCCCCAAAAAAACCAGTCGTCAGGCCCTATCACATTGCTTTTAAATGCTTTTCCTGCTTCTTTACTTCAATATTTGCCAAGCTATGTAAAATAGTATCATCTCCCATATCCTGCTTCCCTCGTTCCATATTTGCTATGCAATGTACATGCTATTATCTATCATGTCTTCTTTGCTTCTTTTTCCATTAGTAACAGCGTTGCTAAAGCTCGTTTTAAGTTCACCTAGACCCTGAAGCTCGGGGAAGCCCAGGTTGTGCCCTATCCCTCGCTCGGTTGATGCTTTAGAGTGCATCAAGGTGCTAAGGCGTGTGCACCTTCACCGATGGGTTATCTTTAAGAGCACAGCAACATGTTATAGTTTTTCCATTCTCTTGTCTAAATCGTGTCCACCTTCACTCATGGTTCTGTCTTTAAGGGCACAACAACACACACATACAACACCACACACACACACAAAACACACGCACGCACACACATATGCTGGCTTGATTATAGTCAAAATTTTCTTCATTAGCGGTTTTCTTGGCTAAACCGCTAAAGCCCACGCTTTAATTACGCTTTGCGTTTAAAGCTCTAAAAGACCTTGGCGCTTTTTACACTTTTTGCTTTTGACTACTCTGATTGGGACATAATTTTTCAAGACAGCTCTAAATGAGCTAGAAACATATACCACCATCTTCTGGTCAAATATGTAGCTTCTATTGCAAAGAATCAAGCCCCATTTCTTCAGGTTGTCAGGAATTAGGATGGCATCATGTATGGTCGTCCACCCAAAGGAAGTAATTTCTGGCGGAGCTTTTGTCCTCCAAATTGCTTTCAGAAATGTTTCCACAGGGCATTCTCCTTCGCCAAACTAAAAATAGTAGGATTTACTTGAGAAACGGTTGGCATTATCTCCGTTCCACCTTAATTCATCTCTTTTTGTAGCCGAGGCAACTGGATTTGTATCACATCAGGGAAATTGTTCATTACCTCAAACTCCTAGCATTTAAGTCTCTTCTGAATCTTACATTAATTGATTCTTCCTGACTCAACCAGAGCTTCTGGATTCTTTACAGCTCGCAATCAAGCCTTTGGAACTCACATTCTAGCCTGTCTCTCGATCTGTCTTCTAACCTGAAAATTTCTTTTGTTACTAGGCTCAGTATCCTATTCAACCCGGTTGCAGTTCTTAGCATGAGTTTCTGAGCTTTTTCCTCTACATTACTCCTAAAAAACTCCTAAGACTTTCCTACATAAAAATTTTGGCTTTCTACATCTGAGAGTATTGTTGTTACAAAGGTATTCATATATCCTATAGTTTCAGGGCACATATCCTTGCTTTGACCACTCGTAACTCCTGAATTACAAAAATAAATCCTCTGCCTCAAACTCTGGCGCACTTCAGGAAAAAAAATGTTTCACCTTTTATCATCTACTTACAATCGGGAATGCAAACATAAACAATCCTTTTGCACTCAACAAGAAACCCCTTAAAACTACAGCTCGTTATACATAGTCATAAAAGCCTAAAAGCCAAATTTCCGTTCATTAGCTGCCCTTACAACTTGTTTGGATGGTTGTTATGTATCGTTTCATAATGTATCATATTTTATTGTATTGTATTTTACTGTATCGTTTTGATGTATATAATGTTTGGATAGATTGTATTGTTTGATGTCATGCACTAATAATACGAAGAATAAACTTGCAATATTATAAATAAAAAGTAAGGTACTAGGTAAAATTATTAGATAAAAAGATAGGGTAGGAGTATTTAATAATAAAAAAGAGCAAGATTAGAGAAAAAATTAGGTAACGACGCGACCACACCTAATCGGTCGCTCCGTAAAGTGACACTTCCGCCGTTACGTCACAAAGGATTTAACAATACGATACAATAAAACTTAAGTAACAATCAAAACAAACATTATATTTAAAAGTAACAATACGATACAATACAACACGTAACAACCATCCAAACAAGCTGTTAGTTTCTTAAACATTTCATACTGTAAAGATGAATCAACATAGAGATCTACAGTATAAATTCAATTTAAGGTTACAGGACTTACTTCTTATGCCTCTGCGCAAATCGAGAGTTCTTTGCTTCCTCCTCTGCAAAAGTTTCAAACATCGCCAAAACATAATCGGATTCAATCATCATAACAGAGACATTGAGATATATAAACAGATTATAGAAAAGAGAGAAACACGGTGCAGACCAGTGAGGCCGAGGGACATTTTGGTGATGATAGCGCCGGTGACGGCAAAACCCACCAGGAACGGCCAGTTGCGGCTCCATTCCCTCCGGAAAAACACCGGCCACGCGTCGAATTTTCTCATTTCCAAACTTAGGCTTCTGTCTTCTCTCTCTCCTTTGGTAGAATTTCCTCGATAATGGAGTACAATGTTAGATTGGCAGCTAACGCAAGAGTAAAAGCTGGTATAAGGGTCTGTTTGTTTCAAGGTATAAAGAAATAATACTGTAATTTATACTAATTTGTTATAAAATAAAGACGGTAAAGTAAAGATAAGTATAGAGAGAAACTGATATATTATTCGAATTCAAATTGATGTACATAATGAACTGAAATCTACGCTATTTATAGAAGAAAGGAAGTTGTTGTGTAAGTTACTACTGCAAGCTGCTGTAAGCTGCTGTAAGCTGATACTGCAAGCTGTTGTGTAAGTTGCTATTATACCAGATATGGATAATCTTCTACTGAGAGTAATGTTTATCCATAACGGAGTACTGAAAGGATAAGCTCATTGTACCAGATATAGATAAT